ACCAAAAAAAAAAAAAAAGCCCTTGGCCTAGGGCAAGTTCCTTAACTTCACTATGCCTCAGTTTCCTCATCTGTCACTGGGGTAAAAGAGTCTGGCTATTTCGTGAGTTGCTGCGCAAGCTGCACTATCCTGAGTTCAACCTTCAGAAAAAAAAAAAAAAAAAAAAAAAGAAGGCCTTGGCCTTCTGCCCTGCATGCCTCACCTGCTTAGACTGCTAAGTCACTTCTTGTCTTTTTTTCTTGTTTGTTTGTTTTTTGGTACTGGGCCTCGAATTTACAACCTTGTGCTTTTGAGGCAGCTATGATGTCACTGAGCTAAATCCCCGGCTCTTTTCTTGGTTTTTTTAGACAGGGTCTCACTATGTAGCCCAGGCTGGCCTTGAATACCTGGTAAGCCTCCTACTTCAGCCTCCAAGTGCTAAGTATTACAGGCATGCACTACCATGCCCAAACTTGCTTCCTATCAGCATGAAGTTTTTGGTTTTTTTCAGCATTTGAGTTTTTGACCTCTGCAATAGTACTGACCATTGCCTGAAATGACAGAAACGCATGTGAGAGTCGCTTAGAGGGGAAAAACCCACTGATGTGATGGGGACTATCCCTGGTAATATGGGATACCTCTAGAAGATTTCCTAGCTTTTGCAGAAACACATTTAATTTTTTTTTTTTGGAAACACATTTAATTTTAAGATACAAAAAACCCCTAACAGAGGGGGATTGAGGAGGGGAATGGGATAAAACTTATAAAAAAAAAAACTTCACAAGGTCCCAAGTTTGATCCCTGGTACCATTGAAAAAAAACCAACAGGGCCGGGGATTTAGCTCAGTGGTGCCACTGCCTGCCTCACAAGTACAAGGACCTGAGTTCAATACCCAGTATATATAAAAAAAAATAGTAAGGTACTTGATGTTGACCAGGTTTATTTACCGTACGGTTTTTTGTTGTTGTTGGTACCGGGGATTGAATTCAGGACCTTTTGGCTGGTACATCCCTGGCCAACCATACAGTTCTTACATTTAACGTGCTAACATGCCCTGCAGTTTTCCAAAAAGCTGTTAGTGTTCTAAGGAACACACTTTAAGAAATAAGGACGTAATGTAAATTTTTTGATTTTCTTTACAACCTAATCTTTTCAGTACATGGATGTTCTGATGTCCAAAGGCAAAATACTTGAGAGGCAGCCAGGCAAAATGGCACACGCCTATAATCCTAGCACTCTAGGAGGCTGAAGCAGGAGGATGGCAAGTTCAAGCCCAGCTGGGGCAACTTAGCAAGACCCTGTCTGAAAATAAAAATCAATTTTATAAAGGGCTGGGGATGTGGCTCCATGGCAGAGTGCTCCTGGGTTTAATCCCTACTACCACACATACCTCCCCCAAGAATGCTAATAAAATACATGGACTCACACTAATAACTTACCATTTGGGCCAATATTCTCTTTTTTTTTTTTTTCTTTTGAGACAGTGTCTTGCTACACAGTTCAGGCTGGCCTTGAACTCTATGTAACCCAGGATGGCCTTGAACTCATTGAAAACCACCTGCCTCAACTTTCTGAGTGCTGGGATTACAGGTGTGTGCCACCACACTTGGCTGAGTCAATGTATCTTAAAGTAAGAAAACTACAGAGTTAGAATAGATTAGTGGTTGCCAGCTTTATTTGTAATAGCAAAAAATAGGGATTAAAAATGGAATGGGATGTCAAGTACAGTGGCTACTGTCTGTGGTTCCAGCTAAACAGGAGGCTGAGATGGAGGACTGCAAGTTTTGAGCCCAATCTGAGCAAACGAGTGTGATACTGTCTCAAAATAAAATGTAAAAGGAAAAAAAAATGTAAAAGGGCTGGGGATATAGCTCAATGGTAGAGTGCTTGCCTAGCGGGCAGGGGGCCCTGGGTTTCAGCTCTGGTACTAGGGAAAAAAATTGAGGGTGGAAGAGGGAAGGGTGGAGGTGTGGCTGTGAAGGGTGTAAGTTGTCCTGTAGTTCTGTTTCTTGAATGTGGTGGTGGATAAATGAAGCTACATAGGTTATAAAACTGCACAGAACTACACACACGCCTCTGTGGACAACTGTGAACATGGTCTGGATCATATCAATGTCAATCTCCTGGCTCTGATGTTGTTACTGCTGTGGTAGCCTGGATGAAGGGTGTATGGACACTGCTTCTGCATACTTTTGCAACTGTCTGTCAATCTAATTATCCCTAAATAAAATGTAAAAACAAGCCAAGTGTGGTGGTGTGAACCACCTATACCTGACAGATGTGTGTACTACCAGCTACTATGAAAGCTGACACAAGACACTATTTGAGCCCAGGAGGTGGAGGCCAGCCTGAGTCACATGAGATCCTGCCTCCCTCCAAAAAGAATAAAAACAAAAGACAAAAAGAGAAATCCATTCACATGCTTTTCTATGTGTATTCCTTCCATGGCCTTTGTTGGTATAAAATAGATCTCAGATTTTTTTGCTTTGTTTTTCTTTTGCAGTACTAGGGATTGAACCTTGAGCCTTTGCACTGAGCTATATCCTCAGCCCTTTTTATTTTGAGCTAAGGGTCTCACTAAGTGGCTAAGTTACCCAGGCTCAGCTAGAACCAGTAACCATCCTGTCTCAGCCTCCCAAAGTGCTGGGATTACAAGCATGCCCCACTATGCCCCACTTCAGGAAGATACTTAATGTCTGCTTTGGTTTTCTGTGTGTGCAGTTGGCTGTAATATTCAAAATATAGCAAGTGCAGTACACCAAAAAGAGGCTGCTAGTGGTATGACACAGGGCTCCACATTTGGACTAATCTAACAAAACAAATGGGATGTACTACATTGGTGCACATGAATGAGAACAAGGGGTAAATCTAAAGTGATGTTACCATGCATGGTGACTGCCTGCTCTGTAGCACCTCTACCCACACCCACACCAATACCAATGCACCACGAAGCAACTGCAACAGAAATACGCCACTCAGCATGAGAATAGGTGCAAACACACACAGCGAGCTGGATTTCACTGTGGAGCCCAGAGACACATCAGTGCACATCTACAAGAACACAATTTCAAATCTGAGGGCACTGAAAACCACCATTATAACAAAGACTGTTTTTGAGACAGAGTCTTCCTATGTTGCCTAGGCTGGCCTAGCTACATCCCCAGCCCTTTTTAGATTTTCAGGCAATCTTACCATGTAGTCCAGGCCAAAAATGCCCCAAAAAACACCTAGAAAGATTCTGTTTTCAGATAGATTCATTATTTTTAGGTTCTCCACATTTTAAGAAACTGCAACTAGGGGCCGGGGATTTAGCTCAGTGGTTTCGCCGTCTGCTGCGCAAGCGCAAGGACCAAAAAAAAAAAAAAAAGAAACTGCAACTATAGGGCTGGGGCTGGAGCTGTGTTAGAGCACTTGCCTACAATGTGGAAGGCCCTGGGTTTGATCGCTAGAACCTCAGCCCTGAAAAAGACAAGAAAAGAAACAAAAGTGGTATTCTCTTATAAACTGCAGCTAAAGGTATAGCTCTGGGGTAGAGGATTTGCCTGGCATGCATGAAGCCCGGGGTTTGCTCCCCAGCACTAGAAAAGATACTGGAGCTAGAAACCTTACACTGTGCAAGTGTACATGTGCCCTGGACAAGAGTCACACAACTGTCATCAGCAGACTTACACAAAACAAAACACAGCATGCCTCTACATCAAAAACACTGGGGAGTGAATGTGCTTTAAATATTTTAGAGTAAAATAAAATGCTAAAGCATGTATTCTGTTTTTCTTTTTTTTTGGTACCAGGGATCGAACTCATAAAGCATTTATTCTTTTTCATGATTTTGTATTGTGGCTGAATTTTTCAATTACTGATCAACTCCTGAAGTGACAGTATTAATAAGAAAATTTCTACCAAAAAAAAAGAAAATTTCTACCATATTAATGTCAGAATCAGATTTGACAAGCATTTTAGCACATATTTAGTACAAACCATTGGCACAAAGCTCTGTCTCAAACAGTATTTATATATTTTTAAAAATATTCTTTTGGGTGGGGCTTGAGACAGGGTCTTGCTACACAGGCTGGCCTCGAACTTGCAGCAATCCTCCTGCCTCATCCTACCAAGTGCTGGGATTACAAGTATGTGCCACCATGCCTGGCTTCAAACAGTAGTTAGACTTGAAACAAGGAACTGGAATTCACAAATAAACATGAACTATCCAAAAATTTGAAGGATAGTACATTAAATTTTTTTCTATACTCAATTTTGTTTGTACTTAAGTTTTCTGCCCTTCTTTAAGCAACATAATCTTATGGTAAGGTTGAACAATATTTTAGTACTTTTATTTCAACTTGTGTTGAAAGAAAAAAGAAATTCAATTTCAACTTCCTGGAAAAATGTTGTAAGGGATTGAGCGATATCACATGAACCAACAGGGTAGAAGTGAAATTTAGTGGGTGTCCAAATACCGGAGGCAAGAGGCGTGGGGACAAAAATTCAATGTTGCACTAATCCAGCTGTCTGTCCACACTTAAGTTATGTCCGCAGCTAACAAATTCTGAGACAGGAGGAGAACTGCCAGCATGTCTTATGGATGGGGTCTGGGTCTTGTTTTCTACCGTCATTCTAGCACTTAAAATAGTCTCTGGCATTCAGTAGGCACACAACCAATTATGACAATAATTGCACTCGGGAGGCTGAGGCAGGAAGACTGCTAAGAGTTTGAGGCCAGCCTAGGCTACAAGTGAGTTCAAGGCCAGGTTAAACTATATAGTGAGACCTTGTCTCAAAAAACAAAACAAAACAAAAGCAGGTCATACTTATTGAATAATTATTATACGTAAGGTACTGTTTAAAGCATTTGGCGTATTTTTATTCCTAACATTTTCAATCCACTGGGGGTGGTGGCACATGCCTGTGACTAACCCAGCATTTGGCAACCTGAGGCAGGAGGATAGTCACGAGTTCCAGGTCCTGTCTCAAAAAACAAATAAGGACCCGGGATTTAGCTCAGTGGTGCCTGTACCTGCCTAGTAAGCACAAGGTTCTGAGTTCAATCCCTGGTACAAAAACAAACAAACCAACCCCTATTTAATCCTTAGGACAATCTCCTGCAGAATTCCTTAATATCTCACTTTTCAGGAAAGGAAACCGAGGCTTAGAGAGCTTAAGTAATGTGTCCAAAGTTCTGTGGCCAAAAAGTGGTATAGCTGGGATTCCAACTCAGCCAGTGTAGCCCAAGGGACTGAGCACTTCAACACTCTGGTGGTATAAAGGCTGTCAAAGGCTAACTTGTAAGAAATGCAAAGCAAACACTTTACGCCAGGTGTCTCCAGCTCCTTACAGTGTAGTTTGTTGCTTCTGCTGTTGAGTGGTTCTGGTCCATTCACATCTTTGCTCTTTTCATTATCCTCAATGGGTCGGAAATGAGCCAAAGTTCTCATGAATCCACGGAAATTTACCTGGTCCTCTCTGGATGGGAGATATTAAAAACAGAAAATCATGTTAATCAGGGTGGGTTTTTTGTTTTCTTTTTTTGTGTGTGTGGTGCTGGGGATCCAACCCACTAAGCTACATACATCCAAGCCCAAATATGTTTGTTTGTTTTTTTGTTTTGTTTTTGGTACTGGGGATTGAATTCAGGTCCTTGCGCTTGCGAGGCAGACAACGGAACTACTGAGCTAAATTCCAAGCCCAAATATGAATACACTTTCTTCCATTAATTTTTCTTTGCTTTTTGGGTAATCACAAATACTCTGTATAGACAATTTTGTATCTTGAGCTCTTTAAATTTTTATTTATTTTTTGAGACAGGGTCTTGATATGTAGGTTAGGCTGGCCTTAAACTCACTATGTCGTCCAGGCTGGCCTGAAACTCTTGGTAATCCTCCTGCCTCAGCCTCTGAAGTGCTGGGATTATAGGCATTTGTCACCATGCCCGGCTAGAGAAAATCTTTTTATTGTACCACAGGCTAATCAATAACCCTGAGAAATACTTCTAAAACTTGAATAAATGAAGAATGCACTAAACTGAGCATGATGGCGCCCAGGACTCAGGAGGCTGAAGCAGGAGGGTCACTGTGAGTTTGAGGCCAGCCTCAGCTACATAGTGAGTACAAGGCCAGCCTGAACTACATAGCAAGATCCTCACTTAAAAAAACAAAAAGAATGTACTTTAACATTAAAGAAAAGTCCCATGTGACATTCTTTTTTTTTTTTTGGTACCGGGAATCGAACTCTGGTCCTTCCGCTTGCACAACAGGCGGCGAAACCACTGAGCTAAATCCCTGGGCCCCTGTGACATTCTTTATCTATTAATGAATTGCTTCTTTATCTAAGCCAGTCATGGAAAAAGAGCAGGTGGTCTGATTCCTATAACTACCTCAAAAAGGTTCTAGTCTTTGCATGTCCCTCTGATTAGATAAGGCACGTAGGTCTCTTATGTGCCAGGTAGACACACAATTCAGACCTTCTATTGGCAGAGTTCAGAAGCCAGATCATGAGCTCACTATACAGTTCTTAGAAGAATGACCTTTAGTTCCTCTGGGTAGCTGCTACATGACTAATGAAACAGTACCTGGTCAAAAAGGTAAGATCTGAAGAATCAAGTAATACAGAGTATATTTGAGTCATATGCCAGAATAAACAGGTTAATGAATACACAGATGACCTAGCATAACATCGCTAAATAACAGTGAAATAATTACAAATGGTCTACTATCAAATCCTAAACTTAAAAGAACAAAAGGAAAGCAATACCCATGGTAAGACTAGAGGAGAAATGAAAGCCCAGGAGCTAGACATCAGCTAAGTAAAGCAGGAAGTAGAGGTGCAGCCAGTCCAGAGAGCATCCCGGGGTGTCTGTCTGCTGCTTCCTCATCTGCACCGTACCTTGCAGGAGACTGGGAGAGGGTGGCAGGTGTAAAGTATATTCCAGTGCTTGGCCTTGTAAACAGATTTTCCCAGGCTGCTTCTTCAAGTAATCAGAGTGACTAAGGAAATGTGAGGAAAACTTGGCAAAGAGATTTTATGGGTTTCCTGTCCACTGCAAAAGGTCTGGGTACAGAGCATTCCTGTGAACATTACCTATGAACATTATCTATGAATGCTCTGAAGGCACTGGAAGTGAAAGCAGAAAAATGAAGAATATGGCACAGAAACCACATCTGAAATAGTCAAGGCAGTTTAGGGAAAAAGACCAGGAAAAACCTGGGAGAGTATGAGAGAGTGAGGTTACTATGGCCCAACATGCATTTGAAAAGAACAGGCCTCGGTCTTTATAAAAACTGAATGCCCGCCTCCTCACCCTCACAGTCGCCCCCATTTTTTTTTTTTTTTTTGGTATTGGGGATCGAGCTCGGGTCCTTGTGCTTGCGCAGCAGGCGACAAAACCACTGAGCTAAATCCCCAGCCCACGCCCCCATATTTTTGAGACAGGAACTCACCTGTAACCCAGGCTGGCCTCAAACTCTTTGGTCTCTGGAATTACAGGTGTGTGCTACCACGCCCTGCAGTCCCTCCCAACCCATCATTTCAAGTCTCAAATCAGAGTCTAAAACTTTTTTTCCAGGCATTTTATCTGATAGTGTCCTCCCCAACAATCTCATTATTAAGAATGGGCAACAGCTGGGCATATTGGTGGACACCTATAATCCTAGCACTGAGGAAGCTGAGGCAGAAGGACCTCTGTGAGTTCAAGGCCAACCTGAGCTACATAGAGACCCTGTCTCAAAAACACAAAGGAAGAACTGCCACCTACGCAACATTTTAAAGACCACTGGGTTATATAAACAATTCACCTGGAACCAGAAAGAGATTGTTTAGGAGATTACTTAAAACAAGACCATATAGTAAGCTTAATAAATATTTACTCAGTACTCTAAAAACAGTGTGTTAGGGAGCAAAGCACATCAAAAATCTAGTTATAAAAAAAAAAAAATCTAGTTATCAAGTGGACACAGAGGCACATGTCTATAACCCAGCTACTGCAAAAACTGAGGCAGGATTGTAAATTGGAGGTCATCCTGAGCAGCTCAGTGAGACCAAGTCACAAAAAGAAAGAAAGAAAAGGAAAGATGGATGGGGGTGGGCTGAGGACGCAGTTCATGGTGGAACACTGACTGGCATGCATAAGGCCCTGGATTCAAGCCAGCACTGACCCCAGCGCTGCTCCCTCCACCGCCACCCAGCTCTGTGTTGACAAACCCAAGTAAAGAAACAATTTACAGTAAAATTGTACTTTAAAAAGTAGGTGTGTTGAGTGGGAAGGAAATGTATTCTTAGTAAATATCATGGAAGTAAAATTAAAGCTTTGAAATGTTCAATTACGGGAGGTTAAAGAGACATGACAGGAGGGCCGGGGATTTAGCTCAGTGGTTCCACCACCTGCCTCACAAGCACAAGGTCCCGAGTTCGATCCACGGTAACAAAAAAAATCCAAAAAGTGACGTGATGGGGGCTGGGGATTTAGCTCAGTAGCACCACGCCTGCCTTGCAAGGTCCTGAGTTGGATCCCTGGTACCACAACAAAAAAAAAAAAAGAGAGAGAGAGAGACATGACAGGTGACCCAGACTAAATTCTATACTGGAGGGGTGAATGCTAGGAAGGGGATTACTGGATAAGCCAAGATGGAGTATAACAGCAGGTTAATAGGTCATAAATAAAAGAGAGTAATAATTAGAAATATTTTATCAATGTTAAGCTTATAGAAGTATAGAACCAGGAGATATATAGCTCAGTGGTGCAGCACTTGCCTAGCATGCATGAGGACCTGGGTTCCAACCCCAGCACTATGAAAAAAAAAAAGTACCTAAGCGGTGGAACACGGTCCCTATTCTTAGCTAACACACTGAGGTGTTCGGAGGTAAAGGGCCACGACTATGCACCCTGCTCTCAAGTTCATGGCTCAGAAATACAATGATGTGAACACACAAGAGAAAAGGTATGTAAGAATGTACGTGTATATACATATATACAGATGTTTACATGTACACACAGAGAGAAGGAGGGGAGAGAGGGGAAAGTGTGAGTGTGTGGGGAGTGGAGAGAAGTGGACAGGGGTGGCAAGCACAGAGGCAGAGCTGCACTGTTCAGCCTCTTGGGTTCCAGTCACAAGGAGCTGTAAGCACTTAAACTTAATCTGACTTCATATGTGCTGTAAGTATAAATTACACATTGGATCGCAATTTTTTAATATGAAAAAATATAAAATATTTCAGTCATCATTTTTTGGCAACTTTTCCATAAATTTGATATTATTTCCAAATAAAAGTTTCTAAAAAGTCCTCTATGTCAATGATAAACTGAGATTAAAGACAGAATTTTGAAGATATATACTGAAGTTTAAAACAGGGAGGAAAAGCGGGGCATGGTGGCACACACCTGTAGTCCCAGCAGTTGGGAGGCTGAGGCAAAAGGACTGCCTGGAGTTCAAGGCCAGCATGGGCTACACAGTGAGTCTAAAACCAGCCTGAACCACATAGCAAGACCCTGTCTCAAAAACAGAAACAAAAACCCCAAACCAAACAGGGAGGAGATTATAACAAAAGATATAATCTAGATATGACAAAATCAGGGATGTTTCTTACAGTGGTGGTGGTGGGGTGGTCCTGAAATGATCCAACCAATATCTTTAGATTAGCAATGAATTTAGGCTGAGAGGGCCTTAGGATGGAGGTACATCCAGTGCCCCAACTCACCCCTCTGGAAAGAAGGCATTGATGATCCGGTCCCCCAGGGGGTTGATGGCAAGCTCTGGAATCCTCTGGAAATCTTCCCGGCTGCCAAGAAATCACCTTTGGTTAGAGACTGTTGGCCCTCGGTATGAATTCCTTTAGTCTGAAACAGGGTACAACCTAGCAAAAATATCATTTCCTGGAATTGACTTCTGTGACAATTATATCAAATAACTGCAAAGAATAGCACTTCAACAACTGCCAAGAGTTTTCAACTTGGGGTGGAAGAAGCCGAATTTGATCATGCTGCATTCCAGTGAATTCAGCACACAGGTTAGGTCAATAAGCCAACTGACGTGCAAACACTAGGCTGTTCTCTAGTAAATGATTCTTTGAACATTACCATTTCGTACTTAGTTATTAAGTCTGAAAAGTGAATGGCTAATGAAAGGTACCAGATACCACAGAATTTGAATACAGGGTAAAAACTTAGAGGAGGTTCCACAGCTTTGTTAAGTAGATTTCAAAGCTAGGCATAGTGGTCCACACCTGTAATCTCAGCACTTTGGGAGGCTGAGCCAGGAGCATCCAAAGTTTGAGCAGAGCCTGAACAACTGAGCAACTTATCCAGACTGTCTCAAAACAAAACAAAAAAAGGCCTTGGTCTGGGCATGGTGATGCATGCCTATAATACCAGCACTGGGGAGGCTGAGGCAAGAGGATCACCAGGAATTCAAGGCCAGCCTGGGTTACAAAGTGAGTTCAAGGCCAGCATGAACTATGTAACAAAACCCTGTCTCAAAAAACAAAAGACCTGGGCTGGGGGTTTAGCTCAGTGGTGATGCTGCCTGCCTCACAAGCGCAAGGTCCTGAGTTTGATCCCTGGTACCAAAAAAAAAAAAAAAAAAAAAAAAGACCAAAGGGCCAGGGATTTAGCTCAGCGGTTTCGCCACCTGCTGTGCAAGTGCAAAGGCCTGAGTTCGATCCCCAGTACCGAACAAAAAAAAAGGTGAAAAAAGGGCTTGGAATGTAACTTGGTGCAAAGGCCCTGGTGGTGGTAGGGGGTCTCAATTCAAGTATCTATGAAAGACAAGGAGTCTTGGGTGATATCTGATCTAAGACATCAGTGTTACAACCAAATAGTTACCTTATTTCCAGGTTTTCTCTATTCTCTTCTACAGACTACAGCTAAAGCACTTAACCCTCAATGGAGTCGCAGACAACCCTTCTGTAAGAGGGTGGTTGTGTTGCACCCTGCGCTGCTCTACTCTGTTCACATTACCTCCTTTCTTTATGCCAATGCATCATCCTATATCCTGTCAGAGCCAAGGAAACTGAGTCAGTGAGTGAGATGAAGAAACGTGCCCTTGCCACAACTAATTGGCAGAAATGTGATCCAAGTGTTTAAGCCAGAACATGTATTCTCTTTCTAAAAAAAAATCACACATTTCTCATATTAAACTCAGTGAAAGAAATTCACTCATCAAAGACATTCAATAGGGCTGTGAGTGTACACTTTTCTACATGTTCAAGGACCTGGATTCAATCCCTAGCACCCTGAGGAAAAAAAAAACCTGTTCAACAGGTTTTTGTTTTGTTTTGTCTGCACACTTGGGGATTGCATCCAGGGCCTTGAGGATGCTAAGCAAGTATTCTGTCTGAGTTACAACTCCAGGCCTATAGGTAATTTTTGGTACCAGGGATCGAACTCAGGTCCTTGCGCTTGCGTAGCAGGTGATGAAACCACTGAGCTAAATCCCCGGCCCTCCTACAGGTAATTTTTGAAAAAATTCTTTGGATGATACATTGTGCCAAGAATACAAACCTGTCCAAAAACATATCTGAGGACATAGCTCAGTGGTAGAGCACTTATCTAGTGTGCATGAAACCCTGGGTTCACTCCCCAGCCAAAAAAGAAAAGTATAGCGCACATATATTTATTTTTTTGCCTTGGTGGAGGGCTAGGGATTGAACCTAGGACCTTATATATTGTAAGCAATCGCTCTACTACTGAGCTACACCCTCAGGCTTTTTTATTTCTAGACAGGTCTAAGTTGTGCAGACTGGCCATGGACCTACACAGCTCTGCCTGAGCCTCTGGAGTAGCTGGGATTACAGGTGTGCACCACCCCTACTAGTCTATACTATAGTCTTCAAAAATACTATTGTCACACTGGGGAGTGTTGCACATCTTTAATCACATAACTGTGATAAATAAGAGGGGCTGGGGATGTAGGTTGGTGGTGGAGTGCTTGCCTGGCATGTGTGAGGCCTTGGGTTTATTCCCAGCACCAAACAGAGACAAAAAGAAAGGCAGAAGACTGTTTCAGATCAAAGGTGACTAACAACAGTTATCTGCATGATCTTGGACTAGGAAAAAATTGCCATAAAGGACATCATTGGGTGATAGGTGAAAATGAAACATGAACCATATTGAATATGGAATATTACACAATAATGCTGCATCCAAATTTCTTGATTTTGATCTGAGAACATCCTTGTTACAGGAAATATACTTTTAAGTATGTGACAAAATGTTCAGTTGGTCAATTTGAGTATCAGGTATATGAAAGTTCTTTGTACTATTCCTGCTCAAATGAATGGCAACGTTGTGTAAATCTGCATCTTATTTCCATATAAAAAGGAAAAAAAAGAACATAAACTTGAACAAATCTGATTTCTCCCTCCAAGGAGTTTACTAACATAAGACAAAAATACCAAACGCTAATGAAGATGGAAGATCACAGAATGCTTCTGTTTCATCCAGAAGTCTGCACACTCTGTCCCTCTTGTGGTTTAACATTTACATGGTGCTGAATTAATTTAACTAGCTCTTCCCCACATCTGGTGACAGGTGGAAACTGACCTCAACTGAGCACGAAGCCTTGGAACAGCGACTTTAGATTTTAATCTTCTTGATCATTTAGGGTAATAATTTTATAACAATGAATAAACTCAAAGAAGCCATTCATAACTGGATTGCTTAAGATGATAAAAGATAAGCGCAAGGTTCTGAGTTCAATCCCGGGTATCAAAAAAAAAAAAAATGATAAAAGATAATGATTTGAACAAACATGTACTCAACTTTCATTATGTAATTTTTCCTGTAATACAAAATCCAAATTATCACCAATATGTACCTCTTCTTATATGACAGAGTTTAAGAAACACTACTCTTTTAAATAATGCTTAAAGCTAAGGGAGGGTGAAGGGCAGGGAGGGGAGGGGATGTAATAGGAATTAACATATGTGGGGCCCGGGATTTAGCTCAGTGGTTCCACTGCCTGCCTCGAAAGCACAAGGTCCTGAGTTTGATCCCCGGTACCAAAAAAAAGAATTAACATGTGTTACGTACATGTACCCAATCTCCACAGTGAATGTACTCATTCTGTACTGCAAGCGTGTAGTAATAAAATTTTTTTTAAAATGACATCTTAGGCTGATTTGAATTGCATAGCCACCTACTGCAGTTTATTTTTTTGTTTTTTGAGACAAAGTCTCACTTTGTAGTGCAGGCCGGCCTTGAACTCACTATGTAGCCTAGGCTGGCCTCCAACTCATATCTATCCTCCTGCTTCAGCCTCGGAGTGCTAGAATTATAGGCGTGCCCCACCAAGAATGGCTACCTACTGCAGTTTAATGTCAAACAAGTGTAAGTAATTTTAGCTAAGAAAAGACACAGTTTAAAACCAGGTCTCCTGTCAAATGGTGGGTGTACAACCTTGCCTGAGTCCTTTAAGTTTCAATAATGGGATCCAATTAAGGACCTAAACCCTGCCTTTTCATACTATTTATATCTAGTCTTAGCATTTAGGTTGTATATGCACTGCAGTTCCAGTCACCAGACCAAGGGGAATACTATTGAAAATATCAAAATTTAAATGCAAGAGTATAAAAAAATAGTTTGAAAACTATTAAACATACAATGATTGTTAGCTTCTTAAATTTGCCCACCAACATAACTCCAACAGAGAAAAAAAAAATACATGAATGTGGCCTACTGTAAAATTCATTTGAATTATAGATTTGTGTGTACCTCAGAAAATATTCCTTAAAAGTTTATTTTTTGTTTTGTTTTGTTTTGTTTTTTGAGACAGGGTCTCACTGTGTAGTTCATGCTGGCCTTGAACTTCCGGTGAAACTTCTGCCTCAGCCTCCCAAGTGCTGGGATTACAGGTGTGCACCACCACATCTGGATCCTGAAAAAAATATTACTGATCGTAGTCTGAGACTAAGATAATGTACGAATTCTTTGTAGGCAGGAAATTCCAAGTGAAGAATGGTTTAAAGTGAACAGGGATGCTCTGAAAAACTGGATTTTGAGAGAATGCTTGTAGGCAGAGGTGGCCCACACCCCTGAGTCGTGGGGTTGAACTCAGGGGCTCACATGCTAACCAAACGATAAACCACTGAGCTATAGCACGAGGTCCCCCTCTCTCCTAGTTCTCAGGCATGAACCCAGGGCCTTTGCACTCAACAACATCCCAGCCCTTTGCTGTTTTTTATTTTGATCCAGGATCTTTGCTAAGTGTCTAAATTGCCCATGTTGGGCTCAAACTTGCAGTCCTCCTCCATTAGCCTCCCAGAGTGCTGGGGATTTACATGCATGCACCACCATGCTTGGCACCAGACTTTTTAAATTTTGAGACAGGGTCTTGCTAAGTTGCTCAGGTTGGCCTCAAGCTTTCAATCCTCCTTCCTCAGCCTCTTGAATAGCTGGGATCACAGGCATGCACCATCACAACACCTGGCTTGCCATCCTTCTATACTTATCTCCTTCACTATGAAAGTCTTCTCCCTCTCCTTTTTGTTCCTTGGAGCGACAAGCAGAAAGGCAGAAGTAGAGCTGAGTCATTCTGCAGAATCTCAGCCCGGCACCAGTCAGCTGCTAGGTGAGAAAAGCAGCATTTAGAGTAATTAGGGACTTTTTAAAGAATGGGCCGTAGGGGCCCCAGTGTCAATGGCTGCAAATAGCAGCTTTATCCTCGGTGTATAGTGCCTGTTGCTTGTACAGGTAGCCTTTGGGACTTGGAGACAGCCCTTTCCCATGGAAGTTCATGTCTTTGACATCATGCTGTCCCTAATTCAGGTCGAGCAGTTATGGGGAGCACCTTTGGAAAGCAAAAGGGCACTGTGGCCAGGATTCTCACGCCAAGTCATGTCCATCTGCCCTAAGCTACAGACCAGACAGCATGTAATTGAGAACCTACACAGAGCCAAGTTCAAGTTTTCTGTCCACCAGAAGACACACAGCTTGAAGGAGGATTTTACCAAGTTTAATGTGGATGAATTTGAAGAGATGGTATCTGAGAAGAGGCTTATGTCAGATAGCTGTAGGGTCAAATATGTACATCCCTAACCACATCTCCTGGGCAAGCAGAGAGCCCTGCACTCATAAAGGCTGCACAGTGCTACCACCTCCTTACTCATGCCCACCAATAAATCCTAATTCTTTTTTTTTTGTACCAAGGATCAAACTCAGGACCTTGCACTTGCAAGGCAGGAGGCAGAACCACTAAGCTAAATCCCTGGCCCAATAAATCCTAATTCTTGCCCACCTAAAACAAAAAAAGCAACAGGCCAGCTGGGCATGATGGTACATACCTGTAATCCAAGCACTCTGGGAGACTGAAGCAGCAGGGTCACAAGTTTGACCCCAGCCTGGGCAACTTAGTGAGACCCTGTCTCAAAATATAAAATAACAAAAGGGCTGTAGCTCAGCATGAAGGCTCTGGGTTCAATCCCCAGTACAATTTTATTTATTTCGGTACCAGAGGTCAAAGTCAGGACCTTGTGTTTTCAAGGTAGGCATGGTACCACTGAGCTAAATCCCGGGACCTCCCAGTACAATTCTTTATTTTTATTTTATTTATGTATTTTTAGGTACTGGGGATCGAACTTGGGACCTTGCACTTGCGAGGAACGCGGCAGAACCAATGAGCTAAATCCCTGGCCCCCTATTATAATTCTTTTAAAAACCCACTTTCCACTGGTGTCAGAGCCCATGAACAGAATACCCAAACCAATGACAGTGGCATCTGAGGAAAGTAAGATTTATAAGGGTACAGTATATATTTATATTCTGTGAAATACCAATCTAAAGAGGTTGTCCATGTAACAGAAAGCCTACAGGGAAAAAGCAAATGAATATGGCAAATACTGTTTACAATATTCCTCCTTGGAGAGTCCCAATTCCAACTGAGTATGTTTAAAGATATAGTGAAATCTTATCACAAAAAAAGCCTCTTTAATCTTGTTTACCAAGCTTTTCACAATATTAATCAATAACTTTTTCTTTTTTTCTTTTTGGTAGAGCTGGGGATTGAACTCAAGACCTTATGAATACTAGGAAAGCATTCTACCACTGAGCTATGACTTGCAGGTATTTTTCTTTCGTTTTTAACACATTAATAGACCAACAAAAGACTGTCTTTTTTTTTTAAGCGACAGTAAGAGATTTATTACGTAGAATTTTAAAAGTACTCACTCAAAGAATTACAGTGTGGGCCCTCAACACAGCTGTGTTTTATTCCGGAACTGGGAGCACTTACATTTTCTTGAGGGGCCAGAAACCTGTGGGAAAGATGGCCCACCTCTAGGGATAATGGCCCATTTTACAAGTACAGACCCAGTTTTTTCCTTTTAAGATGGGTAATGGGAGAAACTGGCTCTGCAGACAAACTTAGGTCACATAAAAGAGGAAAAAGGCCACAGGGTGGGCTATCCTGAGGAATGTCTCATAGCCAAATTTAAGCATTCTTTGAATTCTTTCAATATGTTCCTTTATCTTTTTTTTTTTTTTTTGGTACTGGGGATCAACTCCGGACTTTGCAACTGCGCTTGAGAGGCAGGCAGAGCACTACTGAGCTATATCCCTGGCCCCGTTGTAGTCTTCTTAAAAGTACAATTTAAAAATATATAATTGTCTTTGTCTCCTTTCTACCTGTCTTTATTTCTTCTGTATCATTCCCCTCCCCAGACTTTATTAAATTTTTTTTTTTTTTGGTACTGGGGATCAAACTTGAGACTTTTCCCTTTCGAGGCAGGCAGCAGAACCACTGAGCTAAATCCCCACCCCTAATCCTTTTTTCTTAAGGGATACAGGGGGTTAAAGGTCCATCTTCTTGTAACTGCTTCCAGCTGGGGGTGGACACTCTGCCTAGCCAGGGATCAGAAGCCTCACTCTGACTGATTTATTTATTTATTTAGTACCAGGGATCGAACTCGGGACCTTGCGCTTTCGAGGCAGTCGCCAGAACCACTGAGCTAAATCCCCGGCCACTCTGACTGATTTAAAGGAGAAAAAGGAAGATGGGTTTTGTTGATGAACCATCACCCTTTATCCTTTGATAGTCTTGTGTTAGCAGACATGATCCCCTCCCCAGCAGCCAGGGTTAGTGTTACACACCACTTCATTCTTTCTTTGTTTATCTTTATTTTTTTTTTTTGGTACGGGGGATCGAACTTGGGACCTTGTGCTTTCGAGGCAGGCGCCAGAACCACTGAGCTAACCCCAGCAACACTTCATTCTTTCTCTGAATTGTGTTAGGTTTCTCCAATTTCTCTGTAGTTTCTAGTTTTCCTAACAGCTTTGCTTTTTTCTTTTCTTTTCTTTTGAGACAGGCTCTTGCCATATAGTTTAGGCTGGTCCTAAGCTCATTATGTAGCCCAAGATGGTCTCGAACTCGTGGCAATCCTCCTGCCTTGGTCTCCTGAGTGCTGGAATTACATGTGTGCATCATCATGCCTGCCTCCTGCTGACTCTTGATTCCCAAAGATTTACTTTTTTCTCATTTCACTAAGTTGTCATTTTCCAGGTGTCTCAATTCCAAGTCCAGTCCAGGAGAGGCTGTATTTTGCTGCCAGTCTTTCCTCCACATTTTTGTTTTTTTGGTACCAGGGATCAAACTCAGGACCTTGTGCTTGCGAGGCAGGCACAGTACCACTGAGCTAAATCCCCGGCCCTCCTCCACATTTTTAATTTTTCTTATTGCTCTATAGAACATACTTGTGGTGGATTGACTAATGGGCAACTTGTAACGCCCAACTGAACTGAATTAGCATGGTCTGGGTGTGGAGGATCCACCTGAAGACTGTTATCAATAGCCATAAAAAGAGAACTGGAGAAGATCGGGGCTGTTGATTTTCTAGGAGAAGCTTGCTGTGGATGGTTTTCCTGATGCGAATTAGGCTGTTCTCGTTGGAGGAGGAGCTCCGGTCCTCACTGTTACTGGGATTGACTGCTGTTCTTCTCAGCGGAGCTCTGATCTTCACCATGAGCATCACTTCCTGGCTCCAATGTGGATCCCTCAGCTTGGTGGCACAAATCCTTCATCTTACCGGCATACGTTTTCTGGCTTTCACCACTGGCCTTTAGGCCTTCCAGGTGCAGATCCTCAATATGGACAAGCATGAGACACTGCTGTGGGCTCTAGGCCACTGGCTGGACTCAAGGAGGACATTGCCTTGGACTCTTAAGTCTTTAGCTGGACTTGTGTGGGAAACTGCTGGGATCAAGGCCCTCAGCTGAATTCTTGGGGCTTCTAGTGTATGGTTAATCTCTTGCACCCCTTGCATTTGACGTTTTGGGTAATTATCATAAAATAATCTTAGAAGGGCCAGGGATTTAGCTCAGTGGTTCCGCCGCCTGCCTTGCAAGTGCAAGGACCCGAGTTTGATCCCTGGTACCAAAAGAAAATGTGGAATGCCAAGATGTACACTATAGCTTCTGCAAATTTGGCTTCAGGCAGGACTCAGACATGGAGCATCTGGGAAGAGAGTTTACAAAAAATAGAAAAACTGGGTGTGCTGATACACACCTGTACTCCCAATACCCAGGAAGCAGAGGCAGAAGGCAGAAGGACTTCTTGAGCCCAAAAGTTTTTTTTTTAGCTCAAGACTTTTGAGATCAGCCTGGGGAATATAGAAACCCCATCTCTAAATAAAGTAAATAAGGAGAAGTATTTTTTCTAATAATCCTGTGTTCTCAAGAAAGTGGTGCAGGGGGCCCAGGATTTAGCTCAGTGGTACCACCACCTGTCTCACAAGCGCAAGGTCCTGAGTTAGATCCCCAGTACCAAAAAAAAAAAAAAAGCCGTGCAGGTTTCAAGTAACAAAAGACTGGAAGCCACTGGTATTCAACTGAGCAACCTAATGAGCTCTAGAAAGGTCAAGACAGGCCTTGAAGGGAGAGTCTGGCAGTGAAGGCTGGAGAGAGCTGCACTGCTCTGTACTACCGAAGAGCTTAGGGCTCACCAACCATAATCTCTAAGGCTGGAGAGGGTAGGAGCAGACATGGGTTGGGAGAAGGGGAAAGACAATGTGACCACAATGTGGCCAGAAGCTGAGATCTTACTGTCAGGAAGCTCAGCCAGTGTGAAGTCGGAGAATGAGTGGGGACAGAGCTTAGCACTTCCTGGGTCTGACCCCCAGTACCATGGGGGCGGGGTAATGAGATATGCCATAACATGTGTGAACCTTGGAACATCATGTTAAGTGAAAGAAGCCACTCCCAAGAAAGTCACTTACTTTCATTTATATGAAATGTCCATAGAGAGACAGAAAGTGTATTAATGTTTGCCAGGGGTTTGGGAAAAGGGGGATAGGGAAGTGACATGTCAATGGGTAGTACTGTGAATGTGCCTCATGCCACTGAGCTGTTTATATTTATTTTGCCACAATTAAAAGAAAAGTCAGGTACCATGCACCTATAATCCCAACCCCAGCTATTCAAGAGGCCAACCTGGGCAACATACTGAGACCCATCCAAGAAACGAAACAAAATAGCCAGGCATGGTGGTGCACACCTCTGATGCCAGCACTTACAAGGCTGTGGCAGGGGGACCACAAGTTTGAGCCTAGCCTGGGCTACATAGTGAGTGCAAGGCCAGGCTGAATTACATAGTGAGACCCTGTTTCAAAAAAACCAAAAAACCAACCGTAACAACAAAGCAGTATCTGCCCTTGGGATAAAGGCTGCTATTCAAACACTGCCTTTCTAGTTTCTGTGTGGGAAATAAAGAAAAAAGCTGGTTACCTGAGGGTCCCGTTTTCTCCTTTGTCCAGGCTGGTGAATCGGCTGTAGAGGCGAGTGATCTGACTGTGGGAAACTGAAGAGCACAAAATTAGTCCTAGCCTCCATTCACACTGCACTCAACCCACTGTTGAGCGCTTCTGGGCTCATGACTTGGGGAGATGTTGCTACTCTAAGTCATCTCTACACTGTCAAAGCATGAAGCCGAAATGCAGAAGCACAGAGGAGTTAAGAAATACATCAAGAGCAATCAAAACTGGCTCTCAGGAATGATGTCTAGGCTTAATCAAGAATGTGTTAGGGGCTGGGGGTGTAGCTCCTTTGTAGAGCATGTGCTTGGCACGAGCAAGGCTCTGGGTCTGTCCCCCAGCACCACCCCTCAAATGTGTTAAATGCCAGATGGTTATTATTTAACAAAGACAAATTTAGTTTAAAAAGAAACTGTGAGACTTTTACATTTCGATGACCTGAGTCCGAGGGTATGAAAATCCATGCTTTGACTAAAAACTCATACCTATTAATCAGCTTGTGTTTCAGGCTGGCATTGCTGGGTAGGTAACCTGAACTGAATTAAAGATTGGGGAACAGCAAAGCGATTCTATTGTGAAAACCTTGTTATGTCTGCACTGAACACTGGAGGCTTTATCCCTTCTCTTTGGACTGATAGTAAGGATAAAAGATCACCACAGCCTGGTATCTGCCTCTTTGCTGTGACTGCATGAGCTCCTCTGAGTTCCCAAGAAAGCAACTGGGTTCCAGGAAGCAAATTAGGCAATTTATAAAGTAAGTGGCTGTACTATCACTAGATGACATTTGCAAGAAAGCGATTGTACTCTTGCATTTGGATTACCTCTGTAAATTCAGGCACAAGTTGACAATTAAAATGAGCAAATACTTGCAGGTACATAATAAAACTTCAAAAAATAACAAAGCATTTCTGGGAAAAAGTTTAGACCTGGCACTTTGGAAAGAAGGGGGAAAAACCCCCAAAAGCCTAAAGAACCCAGTGTGGTGGCGCACACCTGTAATCCCAGCACTTGGGAGGATGAGGCAGGAGGATTGTGGCAAGTTTGAGGCCAACTTGGACTACATAGTAAGTTCAAGGCCAGCCTGAACTAAACAGCCAGCGAGACCCTGTCTAAAAACAAACAAATAGGACTGGGGATTTAGGTCAGTGGCACCACGCCTGCCTCACAAGCACAAGGCACTGAGTTCAATCCCTGGTGGTGGTGGTGGTGGGGGGGGCAAAAAACCTAGAGAATGGTCATAGGAGAAAAGATCACAGCCGAAAAGGGTGTGACAAATTTGGACTTTGTCCTAGCCTGCACTTACAGAGGTGGCATAAGCACTTCTAATAGTTGTACTCCTCCCCAGGCTCACACAACAAAACCTGACTCCAGGTGTTAGGAACAATGGAACAAAGCAAACAAGGGCTGGAGGGGGGCAGGAAGTGAGTGAACCAGGAGAGGACACACTAGGCGGGCGCTGTGACTGGCCACTGTGACTGCCCAAGCATTAGGTTTCACCCTTGAAGAGGTGCTCTGTTCTGCACTACTAGTGCTCTAGGGGGAGCAGAGAACAGAGCACAGGGAGGGGGCAGAAGCAGCAGGGCTCCAGTCACAAAGGGAGCAGAGGCTGCTCTGCTAGCCAGGCAGGTATGAACAGCTCTCTGTAAAGAGTACACACTTTGGTGAAGGTCAAGGACACAGATTCTGATTCTACTTGTAACACCATTAACCGGCAAGGGGTAGGTAAAGGGGGTTATGGTCAGAGGAGGAAAGGAAAACATCGACCTGGCACTGCAGGTTAGTTATTGTCATCATTCTTCCAAGGTATGGTTTTATTGCTTTGCTAATTACTCTCCACCTTCCTCCTCACTCTGCCAGTCATAACCCTGTTCTTTAAGAATTTGACCAGTTGGGGCCAGGGATTTAGCTCAGTGGTTCTGCCACCTGCCTTGCAAGCACGGGGTCCCGAGTTTGATCCCCAGTACCAAAAAAAAAAAAAATGACTGCCCTAAAGAACTTGACCAGTTTACCCTGGCTTGGCCTTAGGCCTCAAAGGCTACTTTTGTACTAAAGTTCCCTTCAGTTTAGCAAAAATAAGCTAGTTAAAGAATTACTAAATTTCCTAAAAGATTTTTTGAGGCCGAGGATTTAGCCCAGTGGTTCTGCCGCCTGCCTTGCAAGCCCAAGATTCCGAGTTCAATCCCTGGTACTAAAAAACAACAAAACTAACAAAAAAAGATTTTTTGAGAAACAGTATATTTTTACAGTCCCAACATTGCTGTTTTCATTTCTGTATATACCACATAACATCAGTCACCCACATACTTTACATCATTGTAATAGATTACTTTTCATTTAGTAACTCATAATTTCTACATTAACTTGGACTACTTTTTAGTAACTGCACAATATTTAGTCCACTGGATCAGATTTTAGTTCTTGGAGTATTATATACAGCGATACCTGGCTCACCAACTTAATTCTTTCCATGATTCTGTATTTCAGATTACTTTTCCTTAAGAAGGAAAGGAATCAAATTGTTACTTATTTTTATATTCATCTTAATCCATGCATGTGATAGAAATCTAAATGAACAAAAGAATGCACAATGAAAAGTTCACCTAATACTCTAATTCTCCATTCTTGTAGATCAGGGATGGCGAACCTATGGCACACATGCTGCATAGGGCTGTTTGTATCACTGAAAGCTCTAAACGTTCACCATCACTGTCCTAGGCCATAGGCAAATACATTATTACCAGTTTCTTATGAGTCCCTCTAGAAATTCCCCAAATATATATATATATATATATATATATATATATATACACATATGTAACATATATAATTTTAAAATTGATAGGAATGTTATGATCGAGTCCTAGTCCAACTCTATCAAATAAATGACTATTTAGCATCTTTCTAATCTAGATCATCATTTAAAAGAGTGGATCACATGGGGCCGGGGATTTAATTTAGCTCAGTGATTTTGCCATCGCCTACTACCCAAGCCCAAGGACCCTGAGTTTGATTCCCGGTACCAAAAAAAAGAATGGATCAGGCCAGGGATCTAGCTCAGTGGTTTCGCCACCTGCTGTGCAAGCACAAAGACCTAAGTTCGATCCTCCTGGTACCAAAAAAAAAAAAAAAAAAAAGAATGCATCACATAAACCTCTGACACTATGACTTTTTAAAACGCTCTTAATAAGTACTAGTCTGGCTTTATACCCTTTTTGTTGGGGGAGTGGAATTGATTCATGGCTGTTTGAACTCATACTTCACCATATGCTTACAAAAAATATGTACATAAGTATTCCAAACAATCATGAAACTATTATCTTTCAGTATAAACTAAGCTATATGGAAATCAGCAGAGAAATGTATAACCAACTGTCTTTTGTGTGTGCGTGTGTGGTATAGATTTGAAACTCCCGGCCTTGAGCATCATTAGGCAAGGGCTCTACTAGCCAGTCACATGTCCAGCCCCAGATGTCAGCTTTTAACATTACTCAGGTCATATCCAAACCTATCTCCTACGTTTCAGAACTAATGTTATAATATCATTAGAAAAGACTTTTGTAACAAAAAGGAGAGAAAGCTAGTCCAGGTGCTATATTCACCCTGACAAAGAATATTAAGCAGCCGGGTGTGGTGGCACACACCTGTAATCCCAGCACTTAAGGAGGCTGAGAAGGAGGACTGACATGATTTCGAGGCCAGTCTGAACTAACAGCAAGACCCTGTCTTAACCCCACTCAAAAAAAGAATATCAACCAATCTCTAATGGTGGCGAAGTGCCACAGTGGGCTGTTGTACCCTTGAAAGCTCTAAAGTGTTTGCCTTCGCTGCTCTAAGGTATAGAGCTAAGAACAATGTTAATTCACTTTTGTTTTTGTGTTGCCCAGGCTGTTCTTAACACTTGTGGGTTTAAGGGATCTTGATTCCTCAGCCTCCCCCATCCACTTTTTAAAATTTTATTTTATTTATTTTTGAGACAGGGTCTTGCTTTGTAGTGAAGGCTGGCCTTGAACTCACTATATAGCCTTGAACTCATGGCAATCTTCCTGCCTCAGCCTCAGGAGAGCACTCGTATTACAGGTGTGCATCACCACACCCAGCATCCTAATCCACTGGGGGTTTTTTGTTTTTTTTTTTATTTTTTTGAGACGAGGTCTTGCTATTAGTTCAGGCTGGCCTTGAATTCATTACATAGCCCAGGATGGCCTCAAACTCATGGTGATTCTCCTGCCTCAGCCTCCCAAATGTTGGGATTACAGGTGTGTGCCACCACGCCCAGCACCCAATCCACTTTTAAAGGAGGTACACAACCTATGTGCAGAAAGGTTTTAGAGCTCCACAAATGAGGCAGGATGTTTCCAGCAAGTCATTTGTACTAGAAGGCACTATGCTGGCCAGACAGGTGCCCCAAGCCTCATTCTTGGTAATCCAATGAAGTCTCAGTCACTCTCAGAAAAGACTGTGCACATAGACATGCCTCCAATGAAGCTGTACTTCTCTCCACTGATCAGCAAACAATTATTTTCATATTGTTGAAAATTATTTAAAAGACACTCCTAGGGCCGGGGATTTAGCTTAGTGGTTCTGCGGCCTGCCTCACAAGCGCAAAGACTCGAGTTCAATCCCTAGTACCAAAATAATAATAATAATAATAATAATAATAATAATAAAATAAAAGACACTGCTAATTTCTCTGACTATAGACCTTTTCTGTCATCACTGCCTCATGCTCAGAGCAGGAAGGCATTTCACAGAAGTGCCAAGCAGCAAGGGGAATGAAAAGAGAAGAATAAAAACAAAAAAGGGAGCCAGGTATGGTGGCACATGCCTATAAGCCCAGCACTTAAATAAAAAAGGGTCGGGGATACGGCTCAGTACAAAGGCCCTGGGCTCAATCACCAGTACTTTGCGGGTAGGGGAGACAAAATGAAGAGTAGTTATTTTAGCCTTGCTTTTATCCTCAATCTTAAGGCAAAGGAAACCAAGATAACACATAAAAGTACAGCCAAAGGGAGTGCTAAAGACTGCAGTTAAAGCTTGTACTCCTAAC